CTAAATTAAATGACTTGCGAGACTTTAAAACTCCAATTACTGGTATCCAAGGTAATACTGAAACAACAGAATTCAGTGAAATTCAAGACAACATCCTTACTTGTTGCACTAATCGAAGAGTTGTTTTCTTTGGAGACATCGCCGAATCACTCAATAAACTTTGGCTAGATTATGGTACCTTTCTCAATGCTAACACTGACTTCATCAGCCTTAAGAATTGTATGGCCCCGAGCGAGTTCCACTGACGCCTCTAATCAAATTTCACTTTCCCAACTCCGAAACCTACAAAGCCAATCTAGGACCAATGGATGGAGCTAATCATGAAAAAGAAACAAGATTCATCCTCCGGTTGTATGTGAATTATTATAACCTACTTAAAACGTATGGACAAGTTCCAACAGGATTAGAATCCAGGAATTGGTTAGTGGATGGGAAAGATATCAATTGGTGGAAACAGAACAGGGACTGTTCCGAAAAGCGACCGGCAGATGTAAAACAATAAATCCTCTATTGACGTAAATGAAATTATAACATACTAATTTGCGTCAATAAGACGTTAATAGTTTTTAGATTAGATTTTCCTAAATATCAAATTGATAAATCCTAACTATTTAAACTTAGAAAAATCATACATTTTATTCATTCTAGTCTTCAACTCTGTACAGTTCGGAACTCATTGTCTGAGTTCCAACTAAACAACCAAACCATCTTCACACAAACCAGCTTATGTATTAAACTAATGTTATAACCAAGCCTTTTAAAATAAAGTCAACTTTAATAAGTAAACCCCGTGGAAATTCTTCAAAACTCTTCAAGTGCATCAAAGTTATATCATTCAACGATTGAGAAAATTAAGAGAGCAAATTTTTCATTCAATTTAGAGATAAATTAATAATTTTATTGAGCATTTACTTTTGTCTCATTTGTCCATTGTTCACATTCATCATCCATTTGTACAAATCATTGTTTTTCGGTTTCGCACTCAAAAAATGTACATTGAAAATTTCGAACAAGTCAAGCAATTGGATTAAATCAACGCAACAGTATCAATTGACTGAATGGCTAACACTCAGCAAACTCCAACCTGACAAACTAGAATCTTTAATTTAACTCATTTCAATAATATTTTTACTGTGTTTCCATGGTGTAGTGGTCCAGCCAATTGCACAGACATGATCTATCGGCACTGAGTGGCATCGAAGGAATTGATCTACCAATCCAATGCAACATTTATCAAACACAAACATCTGTAGCTGAAAGCCATTACAAATACTGAATGGACTTGAATCCCAGAGATTTTCACTTATTGATTATTGAGACAAACTCAGTTCCAAATTGATTATTTTAATTGCTTTCCTAAATCATCAAGTCACCATCAACACTGGTTTTGTTCAACAGTAAAACACTTGTTAATTTACTTTTTTTTATCACATTGTATCATATTAATACTAATCGATCCTCAAACTGATCAAATAAATGCAAATCTGTTCAGCATCCTACAATACAAAATCAATTGTAAATAAATAATTAATGGCATTTTTTATTAAACAAAATTGAAACAAAAAGTAAAGTTAACCAGAAATACTTTGAATATTATTTATAATATGAAGGAACGTGCCTATTGGGACGTACAATTATGAAAACCCGTTCTTTTGGTACAATTTGCTGCTGATTGCATGATTGCACGAAGAATTTATTCAGACCTTCCAATCTTGATTTATCGTAATCATTATCACCAAAATAGACTGCCAGAACACTATCAAAAGCAACTAAAAGTTCAGTCAGTGTCAATTTTTTACCAACAATCGGTGTTAGTTTTATCCTTATCGTAATGAAGGCATTTAGTCTTGTATGGCCAAGGTAAACTAGTCGTCACTTGTTGGGTAAAGTAAATGATGACAGTATAGTACATTACTATATTACTACTTACAATTTTACTTATTTGTTAGTATAGTGTATTTATTTTTCGGTGGTTCAATGAAAATATATTGACTGCCTTGATTCCCAATGCTTCTATTACCAGATGCGAATCGGAATGTATAAGGTACCTTGATTCGATTCTCGAGGATAAAATTGTTACCACCGAGACCACTTGTGTTTTCTCTTGTAAATGGAAGGGAACCATTGCGACAAGAGATTCGAACGAAAAGACCGTATCCATTGAGAAAACGTTTTTTCGTGCATATTTTTGTATCAAACAAATTTTTTCGAATGTCATTGAAAGAGTAAATTTCATCAATAAGTTCCCTTGGATCTTGAGTCAACTCTTCAACATCGCCAACTGTTAACAGTGCTGGTAACCATGAAGTGGATCGAGTTACTAATAAACTCAGATTGGAACAATGCTGATCAAATTCTTGTACAGAATTTATTGTAACATTTGGTTTGTTGAATAAAACTTTACACCAATAAACCAGTTCAGTTGGACGTCGATGATAAAACGTACTGAAATTCAATACAGTAACCATTGGAAAGAAGAAATCTATAGCTGGAACTTCAAGGGGCTGAAAAATTGTAGATAATTTCGGATCGAACATCAAATTGAATAAAATTGTGGATTGAATAAATCGATTGATGAGCGCATAAAATAAAACAAAAAATCCAAATCTTTGATTTATTTTTTAGAAACTTGATGTTCAACATTTTTTTCAACTCGACTTGAGTGTGAATCAACCTTTTTCAAGAATTGAAAATAATATGAACATAATGTAACCATTTTTTATCCATTTTCAATTTGTTTTTTTTTGAATGAGCAAGATTCCTCGATAATCAATGAACTAGAGACAAAGTTAGAAAATAAGAAACCCGATTCGGACAGTCAAATCGTTTCTTGACCATTTGCAATTCATGCCCATGAATTTGACTATGCGATCAGATCTGGCATCAGTAGTATAGAAACATACGCTTCTGTGGCAAAGAACGGAAATGGGAACTACTTCTGGTTCATTAACCCCACTGAAGACCATCTTTCAACATCTTAATTTGACCTTGAATTCTAGTTTAAAAACACCATCTTTCAATGGCTTAATTTGAACATTTCAACGACTTTCAGCGACTTAATTTAAATCTTACAACCGCTATCTTCAGCTTAATTTGAATTTCAACAGCTCATCGACTTAACATTGAGTCAACGCGGGGCCCGAGCTGAACGTCAGATGATTTCTAAAACTAGTCTAAAACTGTATAATTATGGATAACGTATTATTATAATTTTTCCATACTGTTAACAATGATAGTGTAATCTGAGAAACATTTTGATCTTTGTTCAAATGAAATTGGTACAATAGTCGACCTGGGCAAGTGATTATAAATTTACGGCCGGTTTGATTGTTTTTAGATCAGTTATGCTAAGTCTATTGTTGTAAAGCTTTGGATTCACATTGATAGTTTACTAGAACCGTCTACTAGAATATCGAGAAAGAAAAAATGACGTTCATCACCTAATTGACAAGTGTGCAACGATATTGCGGATTCAAGAACTTGAGGCGTGTTTTACTGAAATGAAGGAAATTATTGACCAAGTTACAGAGAGAGGATGTGGTTTCATCATTGTTGACATTGAAAAATTGATATATGGGCAGCTCGTTTCCAACCTCAAAAAGGTGGATGTCATCAATTTAAATTACCTGATGAACTCTCTAAAAAACATGCTATCCTCACAATTGAGTGTGAAACTTATTGTTTCATGTATTCGATCTTGGCTGGACTCCATAAAAATCAATATCATTCAAAACGGTATCAATGTTATGATGAATTCATCAATCATTATAATTTCTTAAAATGGAGAGGACATGTTGATCATCATTGATCAAAATTCATGCACTCAAAATTACGTGATACCATTTTATGTCACCAAAAATGAAAAACCTATTCATGTACGCTTATTCCTGTTCAATATTCAGTATAATCTAATAACAAATTTTGCAAGACTTTTAGAAAGTCGGGGAAATTATCGACACATTGAAATCGGTCCATTTATCAAACCGGGAATTCTTATTCCAAGTGTTAAATTTTCTCCTTTATCTGATTGAAAAGTTTGCATTTTACTATTTCTCGGTGTAATTGGGGGTGGTCTGTCTACTTCTGTTTCAAGCTTCGGTGACTCCATAGCAAAAGATTGCATGAGATTTGTTCTTGAAGAAGATGATGCATTTAGTGGTGTTGTCTGTTGTGGTGCTTGTTGTGAAGCAGGAGTCACAAATTCACTTCTTGTTGTAGAAAAAATATTTTCTTCTACACCATCAGGTTCTTCAGATTGAAGACAGAGTTCGACTGTTTTTATTGTACTGTTTTTTATTTTACTGTTAAGTTTGAATTGATTATTGCTTTCAAGTTGATTTTCTCATGTTGGTTTTAATAATAATGGTAAAAATCCTCCCTTTTTGATTTTCACACTATTTTTATGTTTCGCAATTTCTATTAGACCATTTTTCAATAGCTTCAATGCTTTCAGTTTTTTATTGGTTTTTTATTACACATTTCAATATGTTATTTGCAATTTCTGATAAGACATGAAAAACTTTACATGGACAAGAAGGTAAAACACTTTCTTTCAGTCTTTTTCTTTGTTTTGTTTAGTTTACTTTGTAAAGTTTTTTTAAAGTTGGATAAACCTAGATGAGTATTTGAAATCGATTCACTTATTTAAGTTGATGAGGAATTATTGGTATTGAGAAAATATTGGTTGATAGTCTAATCTCACTTACTGTTTATGCTTAAATCAATGAATAAATATGAATAAGGCTGAGAAGTAGCATGTTCAAAGACAGAATTGCATATTCAAACCAAAAATGATCAAAAAGAAGAAAAAGAAGAAATTGAGCCAGAACTCAAAAATTTACAAAACGTAATTTGGAGTAATTGAAATTAAGCATAGACATAGTTAATTATTATAATAGTTTTATTAAGTTCATGCAATTTAGTTCAAAGTGTATTTGTACAGAAAACACACTAACAATTCTTAAATTTGCTCGATGTCATCAAGTTAGAAATCAGGAGGACAAACAGCATTACAATGCCAGAGATCATCTAACCGCAAAAAAGCAGTTGTCATATACTTCCAAACCTTTTATAGCAGAAAGCTAGTGTACCACCCAACCAAAAGAAATGTTGGATTAAGGAAAATTATAGCCAGTCAGGTGCCGATAAATCCGTTAGCCGTCCAATCGAGAGCTGTTCCATTTGACGCCTAGCATGATCACTTAATTGCAGGATAAGTTCCTTTTCTGAAAAAGAAAAAAATAGGAAATTAGAAAAAGATACGATAATTAGATTGATCAGAAGAAAAGAGAACCAACTAAAAATAATGAACACTTACCATGAACACCAAGGTTCCTTGCATTCATCTTGAAAGAAAGAAAAGAAAAGAAAAAAATCAGAAAAAATTAGTAAAGATAACAGATAAAGAATCAACAATTAATGATGATCTAACCAGATTTACTTTAGTTTTATATGTTAACAAGGTACTCACGCATTTCCATTTGCGGAATTCATTTCTGCAAACGATTTTTCAGGGAAATTTTAATATGAACACCATTATGGACAGGATACATTGTGCTCAAATATGTAAAATGAATTAATGAAAAAAAGAGGAAATAAAGAAAGTTAGAGATGAAAATTACGAAAAATATGAAAAACAGTGTAACTCAATTTGGTATTCAAGTGTTTTGCCAGCATTATGTTATTTTTGCCTGCGCACTCGCTATACCGGTGCATACTGTTTCAAATTTTGCACGCGCTCACATATCACGATTTTCTTCTCCCATTCCATTAAAATTTCGAGACCTTTTCCGTCATTGTCTAGACACCAGTACTTAGTTGTGCAAAGCCAAGGTGACACACTATCAGGCATCAAAGTAGTTTGGACCAGGTTCTTCTTCTGCTTCTCCATCATTGTCATTCGAACCATGTCCAATTTCCTGTTGCTCTCCATCATTCTGTTGACCTTGTTGTTATTGATTTTGTTGACTGTCTACAACCTGCTCTGAGTTTTCAGCCGATGAATTTTGTTGGCCATCTGGATTATCGTCACTGGAGGGGATAACAGGATTTGCATGAACTGAAACAAATGAAAGAAAGAATGAATATGTTCGTTTAACTGAGGCATCAAATCATGAAAAATTCTAGTTATTTTCACCTTAAAGTAGTAAAGAAAGACAAAGGAAGGCCAAGAAGGACGAAAATAGACCAAACATGATTTTCCTGTTCAAAGTTAGTGCCAAAAAGATAATAACTTTCCTTTTCATAAACAGATAGCACTAGTAATACCTATAAAGGTTTGAAAGGGAGCTTTAAGGGAGCTATGGAGGAAATCGAAAACCTGTTTGACAAGAAGAAAGACAATAAATTAGAGCATAGCAGAGAAAGTATTAACTTACCTGAAGGCCATATCTGAATCTCCTCTTCTTCCCCTGCATTTTTCACCTTTTGGTTTGATACCAGTTTAAAAATAAGGCACAAAGTAATTGAAACTTAAGATGTTGGAAATTACACAGGATATCTAAAGAACTTTTTACCTAAACTGACCAACCAGCTGTTTTCCCAACAACACCTTCAATTTCTACATCTACCAACAGCGCGTGAATCAAATGCGTCGCATGAAAATGAATCAAATCTATGCTAAAATTCAATTATCATTCTGCTGACCTTATACGTAACCGGAGGACCGATTCTTGTTTTAAAAGTGGGGTGATGTGACGAAAGTTGTATCCTTCTCTGTTACTCATTCACTCAGATCTTCCGTTCCCATCATCCGTTTACTCCATATTTGAAATATCCTGTCATTCACAATCATGTTTAACTTTTCATGGTGTCAACCTTAAAAGGACTGATTCTAGAATGTATCACTTATTATTACTTACAAGGGAAGTAACCCAGCTGGTACGGGCAGATCAGAATGAATCTGAATCGAATTAGACGATCTGTTTAATTGATTTAACTAAATTAATGATTAACAGAATTTAACTAAGTATAAATCTGAATTAAAGCAATGATTATCGAACTGATCAAGGATTAAGTTAATTAAGGTGATTAATTGAATGAAGTAATTGATTAAAACTGAATAGAATTAAAATAAATTGATGAATCTGGTCAAACTGATTAAACTGAATTAACTAAATTGAATCAACTGATTAAACAGAATTTAACTGATTAGTGAGACTGAATTAAATTCATTGATTAAACTAAATTAACTGATTAACCTGAATACAATTAACTGGTTAAGCTGATGATAAGCCCAACTACAATAATATTTTTCATTGATAGTGAAATAGTTATCCAAGTGTTTTTTCCCCTAAGTATATTATTAATAGTTATGTACTACTTAATGAACACAATCGCATTAGAATCAAACTAAAACCCGGTGATTGGGTGTGTAACAAATGAAATAATCACTTTATTGATTATGCAATTAATTGAAAGTTTGAATATTAAATTATGAATAATTAAGTACGCCTGGTTCACCAGAGATAACCATCAAGTATTATTATTATCAAAGTAGTTAAACCTTTCCACTAGTGTGATTAGACTCACCAAATTAGAGTCACCTCACTTTATTAGAGACACCTAACCAAATCAATTAACTGAATTGAAATTAAGCATTAATTAATCACATAATGGTCGATAAAGTGAGCTGAATGGAGAGCAGAAAAGAGCTGAATTTTTAGTATAAAAGGGATGATGTTTTCAATTCAACGGTGAATTCGATGGTTTCCCCACCTTCCTTCTCTCCTACCATTACCTTTACTTGTTAACCATATTATATTGTAAACCGTAAATTGTATCAGTATACAGCTGCGAAAATGGAGTTAGACCTCGACACCATATCTTTGGCGCATTGTTTTGGTATCCAAGCATGCCGATAGTCAATTTTTTGAGATAAATTAAGCACAATCAACATCGATTCAATGCCTTGACCAATAAGTATTGATTTGATGTTGATTAGCAAAAATCTCAAAAAATTGACTATCGATATGCTTGGATACCAAACAATGCGCCAAAGATATGGTATCGAGGTCTAACTCCATTTTCGCAGCTGTATATTCTATCAGTGTTCTATTATAATATTTATGTAACCAAGTTTATTGCATTCCTAAAATTGCTAACCTTCATCCGTCCTCTAGCTCAATAAACGCTTTCGCTCCAGCAACAAAATCTCCGTCCAGTTTCCTCGGGCTTCTTTCAGGGTGTATTATCTATTACTCGGTCATGAGTGGGCAAAAGTAAAATGTGTAAAACCTTTTGTTGTTTTATCATTTTAGTCTTTTGGATTTTAGTAGGAATTCTAGTATGGAGGACAAAGTATATGAAATTCAATTGAATTCGTATAGCTCATTAGAAGATTCAGAAACTGAAGAAACTCAGATTCATTTAACTTTTACTATTAATGAATCAAGTATTAACGTAATAGTTTTAATTAATTTAAGCTTACCAATCTTAGTACTTATTTACAAAATATTTGCTGACATTTACTACATGTACACAGTTTATCATTAGCCTGCTTAAGTAAAAGTCAAATTAACATGTCAATACCTCAGAACAAAGAAACGCAAGTAAGCAGTATGACTAAAAAGTCAAAAGAACGTCAACCAGTTAATCAATTTATTCACATAAGTAACTTCTCTGGAGATGATAAAGGAGAAGATTTACTCGAATGGTTAGAATCATTCAAAGCCTCTGCTGCTGCTTTAGAATGGGATGATGAAACAAAACTGAAAGTTCTTCCAGTTTATTTAACTGGAACAGCCGCAAAGTGGTATAGATGCTGCATTAAAACTCTTGAGGCAAAAGAGAAACCTGACACGTTTGCTAAATTGCAAGCAATAGTCATCTTTTATTGTTACAATTTTTGAATGTGACTATTGTAATGGAACCTTCAAAGCCACACAAAAATTGAAAGAACATCTCTTTGGTGTTGTACGACAAGGGAATGGCAAAAAATAAGTATCAAGTGAGGCCTTGTCCTCAACGATTTGTCAGAGATAAATTGACTGGATATGACAGATTAAATTGTCCTGTTAAATTCAATAAAGATATTCTGTTAAAAAGAAAGTCTGGGCCTGGGTTTACTGTCAGGATGATACATGTGTTAAACCTAATGCCAATTTCGATGTTTCACCCAAAATTCAAAACAGTGGTCCAAAGAATTCATGACCTGGCTAAAAACAAATGAAATGTGAAAAAAGTCAGAGAAATCAGAAATGGTCCTGGCTTCGAAACTTTGCATATCTTGTTTTGGTTGGTTTTCATGTGCGTTCACTTGTTCACTGGCACTTTATGTTTCATAGTTTAAACCTTCATTGCAAAAATGGGTTTCCATTGGAGTCATTTTTGATCAATTTGGTTCAACCAAAGTTCACCCACATTCTGGTTTACCAACAATTGTACACAAATACTTTATCAAATTGAGTCACATTTCGTATATTCTTGGTGGTTTAGCTGCTTTCCTTTGTGGCACACCTTCGTTTTTACGAATCTCTTTTATTGCCTTTGGAGTGATCAATTTCATTAGTAGATTATCCGTCCATTTCTGGCTTGGTGCCTATGGACAACATAAGGTATGACTTTAAACAATTTATTGGTTGAGATTGAATGGTGAGACTATTGATAAATCCTTTATTTAACAGAAAGTCCAGATGTGAAACAAAATCATTAAACTCGTAACTTAATATCGCGAAATCAATTGACGTTAAAATTTCAATTTTCCTTTTACGATTCCCTTGTTAGATCAATCAATATTGTTCCCAAGTGAGAAAAGCACTTTTTACTAATGGTTCTTTTGAAATGAAACGCAAAATCATAATCTATCTCGAACACGTTGAAACTCGCTATTTCTTTACCATATTTGGGGCCTTACGATATTCATTATTTCATGTTATTCTGGTTCGTATAGTTCGCAATTTTATCAACTAAACGGGATCAACTTAACTATGGCTGGTAAATTGAAGTGTCTAAGCATTTAAATATTGTTTATTTCAGGTTATCTGCGAAAACATAACAAATCTTCTTCTTCTACAGGGTGGCCAATGGGGTGTGATAATTAGAAGTAGGGCTTTTTTTCCTAGGGAAACGGTAGAGGTCACCACTTTTGTATATCATCGGATACGGAAATACTTGAAGTTTTGTTTGACCACAGTTTTAGTCAGTTTAATTAACATTTCAAATCTTTAAACATGGATGAGCTTATTCAAATAAAAGTTGATTTAATTGAATTTTACTTCGTAAATAGTAAAAATGTTAGTGCTGCTATACGCAAAATACACACAAAATATGGAAAAGATCTGCCAGTTTCAGACATAACCCTCAGAAGGTGAGTAATTCAACATGAAAGATTTTGATTTTTACGCTTTTTTAAGCTTTTTTCGTTTTTTACTTTCCAACACTCCTTATTAATCTTTTTTCTGTTTGATTATTATGCAGATACGTTGAAAAATTCACCACGACTGCTTCCTTTGATGACAAACGTTATGACCAACCAGGACCAAGTTATACCGTCACAACACCCGAAAATCTGGAAATTGTTGAAAAACACTTCCAAGAAAATCCTAAGGATTCTCTTCGAAGAGCCGGTCAAAAATTAGGCATTCCACGTGAAACACTAAGGGTTATGCTGCGTAGGTTTCTAAAAATGTTCCCTTATAAAATTAGTGTTGGACAAAAACTGACTCCTGCTGCAATGGAAAAACGGACTGCTTTTTCTTCGCAAGTTTACCAAATGATTGAAACCTCTCAATTTAATCATGAAGATATCATTTTCAGTGATGAGGCGCATTTCCATCTTGATGGATATGTCAATAAACAGAATTTCCGTTTCTGGGGTTCGGAGCGTCCTGAGTATTTTCAATCGAAATCTGCGCACCCGATTCGCTTGACAGCGTGGGCAGCGATAACCCGGCACAAGATTTTCATAACATTCTTCAGGAATACAGTCACTGGGGACTCTTATAATACACTGCTAAAAAGGTCATTTTTCCCATGGTGTGGCAAAAACCAAGTTTCGACCTCAAGCTGGTTTATGCAGGATGGTGCGACACCCCATCGAACCAAGGAAGTCTTTGAGACACTTCATAACAAGTTTGGTACCCATGTCATCGGATTAGGATATCCCAAATTTTGCAACGGAGGTATGGAATGGCCGCCCTATAGCCCAGACCTAAACCCTTGTGACTTCTTCCTATGGGGTTTTTTGAAAGATGGGGTATACAAGGATTCTCCAAAAACCATAACTGACCTAGAAAAGGCCATTAAAAACCGACTTTCTGAGGTCACTGAAACGATGCTGGAGAATGTATATGACTCCTTTGCTAGACGGCTAGAAGCTTGTGCCAACACCAATGGCGATCACTTTGAGCATATTTATGCGTAACTTCAAGTATTTCTCTACATTTTAATATGTAATACTCTAGCTTTTTCTTTCTATTTTGAAAAATAAAGGACCTTTTATAATTATCAAACCCCACTGGTCACCCAGTAATTGCATCTTTGGCTGGTGGAATGGGTCATTGAATGGACAATATGGACATGGAAAAACTTTTTCTTGAAATTGAAAAATTTGTGTTTAATTAAAGCCTGAGTGTCTGAAATTTGGACCAACAGGTGATTATTGTATTAATATTTAGAGGCATTGCAAGTTTGTTCATGTTCTTACAGCTTTGAAATTGCTTTGCTAATTGAATGTTTGATCAATCTTTGCATAAATCGAAGTACGAGCGTACTGTATCCACTTCAACTCAAAAAATTATCGGTATTCTGTTGCTGATGTTTTTGTTGGATTAATTTAATGTCTTGTAACTCTACGCATAATCTTACTGTAGAAGTAGCAAAATTAGTAGTTGACGATAATATAATTTCTTCCTTTTCATTCAATTTGAATAGCAATATTAGGATATGATACAGTTAGTTGATTGGCAAGCAATCGAGATATAGTATTCAATATCATAATAATGTTTATCCACCACCTTCTAATATGGACCTTTCAATTTTGTCTGTTGATTCAAAAATCATATTCATTTAAAACACCCAAACATGATTCATTGTTTTATTATAAAACTCATGATAATGTTTTCTTGACGAATCCCACTAATCACACAACATTTTATGGTATTTATGTGGCTGGTCAAACAATAACAATTGATATACTAACAAACTTATTTAATGTCTCTGAGATCCTCAATTGGAAAGTGGTCAATCTCGATGAAAAGCAATTGATGTTCGTTTATAAAAATAAACCGTATATTCTCATTAATCGAGAAATTATCAGGGAAATGGAATATTCTGGTGAATTGAGTGATTCAATAATAGCTTTTGGTGATAATGAAGCTCTTCATGTACCAACAATATTCAATCCTAATTTAACAGGACCAGTTCCTAAAGGAAATTATATTGAATTATTGTATTTCGATGATCAAAGTGAAAAGGTTTCTGTGAAGCGATCCTTACCTATGCTTGAAGATGATTGGAATTTCATTTTAGAATGGAAAATGACTGATTATATTCATTTCGACGATAAATTGTACCTTTTAATAAAGCGAAGTATTTCGAAGCAAAATTCTGTTACTCAAGAGATATCAGTAATACGATTGTGTCTCGGCAAAGGAAGTGAGCTTATTTCAAGTGCAGTTGAGATTCATTTCACTCGGCCAGAATTCGAGACTCATCAGATAATCGATTTGATTTTTGTTTTCCTTTTTAAACCTTTGTATAATGACACCAATCGTTACCAAGTGCACACAACACAACCTTCAAGTATTGTTAAAGTTTATCGTGTCTATTATATTGGCAATTTTGTTTCATTGTTTGAAGAAACCGCAAATGACTGTGCCTCTGGTTTTGGTAACATCACTTTATTACGGCATCACTTAAGAGCAGAAGTCGGTGAATGTAAAAAGACTTCTTATAAAAGTTGTTCAACGAAGGAAAATATTGTTCCTTCAAGAGATGTCAGTCTCGTTGTAACTGGAGAATTATCACTTGTCCTTCATACCCAATATAATAGTAATTTGCGAATCTTACCCCACAAGATTCAGTTTGTTACACTGCCGTATCCATACGATACAGCGAAAATATTAATCCACAGAAAACCGTTCTTTTACACTGATATTTGTGAATATTATATACTGTCACGGCTAAGATGTATGCGTATTGATCCAAACTCAAATGATATCGGTGAAGCCGATTTTCATACTAATAAACGTCCACACGGATCTCTTTTCGTAACCAAAGAAACTAATAAAATCCTTTTCATTCCCATCAAAGTGTGTTCAAATCTAATAACTTGTACTCAATGTATTATGTATGGACTTTATTTTGACTGTATTTGGTCAAACTCTATTTGTGTTCATGATGATCAACCCAAGAACAAAGCTACACTTACAGTCAACCATTGCTTCAAAATCAGCAACATTTCCCCCTTAATCTTCAACTCTTTGACACCGACAATACTAACAATTGAACTCGATAAACCACTGGTCCCGGATTCCAATTCCCGAGAGTATATAGTTATAAAGGCTGGTTCACATAACCATTGCAGTAACATAACAAGAAACGGGCCATTCATCAATTGCACTTTAAATTTACTTGAACCGGGTAAATTTAAGATTGAAGTTAGTCTGCAAAATGATGAATATGCAGATTTTCCACAATTAGTGCTGCATCTATTAATCAGGTTCATATTTTTTCGCCAGAAAGGGATCCTGATTATACATTTCCAGCTATTTTTATATTATTTCTAGGTTTACTTATATGTTCAATTTCACTAATAGCTTATACAAAGTTTAATGAGGAATATGTAACTAAATTCAAAAAGTTTGCTCGAACAAGAAATTTGAAGGGATTCGTTGGTACTCAAAGTGCAATTACTCGTGTTAGATCAAAGTTATTATCCTCAACAATGAATACACTAACAGATTCAACCTTTACTAATGCACCTTCGAGTAAACAGGTTTCCCGTTGGAGTTCAATGCGATCTGTTCCCGATCATTTGTATTTATCAAAACAATTAGATTCATCAAGATTAAAATAACCACAAAACAATTTCTAATTCTTGATTGATTTTCTGTCTATGGATTATTTTTTGTAGTTCAAAGTAAAGTTCGGTAGCAACCACAATTACATGAAATATGCCTTACATAATGCAATTTCAATATATCGAACGATTTGTTAGCTTATTTGTAAATCTTTCTAGATCGATGTATCTTTGCGAATAAAGAATCTTATTTGAATTCTGTAAAAAATTTGTCATGATTATTCAACTTAAGTAACAAATCTATTAAATAGCAAACATTATCCTCGACAATGAACTCAAGTAAACTGGTTAATGATCGACTGCAGAGCCAAGCACAATCTTTTGTTGAATATAGTGTTGTATTGCTTCAATATTTTCAAGGAACAAGAACAAAAAATGTTGTTCCTAGTTCTTAAAATCGAGAACAAGAACAATAACAAGAACAGTACAAATCGGAACAAAAAAAACCTAGCGGAACAAAACACTAAAACTGAGAACAATTTTGGTGAAAATTTTAATTTATCAACAGATTTTGGGCAAAATAGGGTTTGACTTGAATCCCTCTGATGTTAATGGGTTACTTTAAGCACTTATTTAGCATTTTATTGCGTCACCTTTGTTCTTTGTTCTGTTCTAGATTTTGGGTTGTTCTGTTCCTAGGTTGTTCCTAGTTCCGATTTTTCGGAACAAAACAACGGAACAGAACAAAGAACAATTGTTCCTGGCGCTGGAGAACAAGAACAATACAAGACTAGTTGAATATTGGCTTGCTAAAAAATTTTATTCTGGGCTATTAATAATCTAGTCTCGTTGTAACTGGGCAGATACCAAATACTCTCGATGGAGCTCTTTATTGTATTATTATAATATTATTGTAATATTTCAATTTTTATGCCTAAACCTCAGTTTGTTACACTGTCGTATCCATACGATAAAGCAGGCATATTAATTCGCGCAAAAACCTTTCTTTTTGACTAAAATTTGTGAATATCATAATCAGTACTCTGTACCCTTAGAATGCATAAATTTGCTGGCAAACTCGATTGTATCAAGCGATTTAAATGGATTCATTGAAACCGATTTTCATACTAATAAACGTCCACACGGATCTCTTTTCGTAACTAGAGAAACTAATAAAATCCTTTTCATTCCCATTGAAGTGTGTTCAAATCTAAAAACTTGTACTCAATGTATAATGTATGGACTTTATTTTGACTGTATTTGGTCAAACTCTATTTGTATTCATGATGATCAACCCAAGAACAAAGCTACACTAACAGTCAACAATTGCTTCAAAATCAGCAACATTTCCCCCTTAATCTTCGACTCTTCGGCACCAACAATACTAACAATTGAACTCGACACACCATTGATAACGGCTTCTCAAGAGTTTCTAGTTATCCGAGCTGGTGATAATCGTTGCACCAACATTACAATGAATGGAGCATTCATCAATTGCTCTATGAGTCTAACAAAATCGGGTGAATTCAATATCGATGTTAGTCTACGAAGTGATAGATATGCAGATACTTCAATCATTAGTGCTGTATCTAATGACAAGGTTCATATTATTGCATCTGATAGTGATTACACATTAATAATAATTTTGATATTATTTACATGTTTAATTATCAATTCATTTGCATTAATATTTATCTATGGAAAGTGCAATAAGGAACATTTAAATAGATCCAAAAGGGTTTCTCGACCAAGAAAAGTGAGGCGTTTCGTTGTTGCTCATAGTGATAAAAAGTTCATAAAATTTTTTGAATCAAAAAAGAAGAGTGGATTTAGTGCTATAACCCGTGTCAAAGCGCAAATAGTAAATTTTTTTGACTCGAAAAAGAAAAGTAAATTAAGTGCTATAACCCATGTTAGTGCGCGAATTTTGCCCACAACGGATACAATGGATAAGTCAGCCATTACAAATAAAGCTTCGAGTGAACAGGGCTCACTTTGGGGGACAATGCGATCTGAACCTCGTCAAATGCATCCACGAAGAAAATTACTTTCATCAAAACGAAAATAATCACCAAACGATTTCTCGCAACTCGATTGATTTGCTTTTTCGTTTTCAAGTTCAAGATCAAATTCGTTGCTACAATTTAACCAATAACTATCATTTGAATGCAGAGGACTTCATGACGAGCACCAGAAAGTTGAACCATGGTTTAATCATAGATTGATAGCCTGGTTTTCGGTGTTACCAAATGGTCGAATTAACCTATTTAGTGACTGATGAGTCGAAATGAAAATATCAGTTTATTTATTGCCTCGAAGATTAAACACTGATCGTTGGTCCAGCCAGAAAACACTTGGTTTTAATATATTTTGCTTAGTTTTTCTGGATTGTAGTCAATCAATTGTTATTCCTGGCAACTCACCTCGCTCAGTCCATTTTACTTGTTAATATCGTTCCCAGCTGAGAAAAGCACTTTTTACTAATGGTTC